CTACGGCCTCACCATATCTCGTGCTACTTGTTACTTTTTGTTCCGTGTAGCTCAATCTAAGACCAACAACAACATTGTAATATAAACCCTCAATTCAGAGGTCATCATTCATGCCCGAGGCTTGCTTGCTTACTCTTGGGTGGCTTACTCATCATCATCAATCATATTGTCATCCATCTAACACGAACAGTGGTTCAGTACAGACTGTGGAAGGATACCACGGATCTTCAGCACCAGCGACATTCATCAGCAACAGTGTAACACTCTACAAATTCAGTTCCTCCTCCTCCACAAGACTCTCCAGCATCGCTACAGAGCAGACAGCCAGAGTCTGGCCGTTCTCGAACTAACAGATCTCGTCCCGTATTCCAGCCCGAGGCCAGGCTTGACTTGTGAGAGTTTGGTCCACCAGGCTGTTCCTTGGAGCGGCCAGCAGGCCCACATACCCACCACAGCCCGGTTGGTCCAGCACTTTTTTTTAGAAAACAATCTAGTTTCCTCTTGAAGATGTCCACCGTTGTTCCGGCAATATTTCTTATACTCGCTGGGAGGGTGTTGAACAACCGTGGACCTCTGATGTTTATACAGTGTTCTCTGATTGTGCCTATGGCACCTCTGCTCTTCACTGGTTCTATTCTGCATTTTCTTCCATATCGTTCACTCCAGTACGTTGTTATTTGACTGTGTAGATTTGGTACTTGGCCCTCCAGTATTTTCCAGGTGTATATTATTTGGTATCTCTCTCGTCTCCTTTCTAGTGAGTACATTTGGAGAGCCTTGAGACGATCCCAATAATTTAGGTGCTTTATCGCGGCTATGCGTGCCGTATATGTTCTCTGTATTCCCTCTATTTCAGCAATCTCTCCTGCTCTGAAGGGGGAAGTGAGTACTGAGCAGTACTCGAGACGGGACAACACAAGTGACTTGAAGAGTACAACCATTGTGATGGGATCCCTGGATTTGAAAGTTCTCGTAATCCATCCTATCATTTTCCTGACTGACGCGATATTTGCTTGGTTATGCTCCCTAAACGTTAGGTCGTCAGACATCATTATTCCCAAACCCTTGACATGCTGTTTTCCTACTATGGGCAGATTCTATTGTGTTTGTATTATCTGTACTGTACCCTGTATTATGTTTCAGGTCCTCATTCAGCTCAAGCTCTGTGCTCCTGGTCTCGTCTCAAGCACCACCTTACATTAAGAACATAAGAACATAAGAACAAAGGCAACTGCAGAAGGCCTATTGGCCCATACGAGGCAGCTCCTATTTATAACCACCGAATCCCACTCATATACATGTCCAACCCATGCTTGAAACAATCGAGGGACCCCACCTCCACAATGTTACGCGGCAATTGGTTCCACAAATCAACAACCCTGTTACTGAACCAGTATTTACCCAAGTCTTTCCTAAATCTAAACTTATCCAAGTTATACCCATTGTTTCGTGTTCTGTCTTGTGTTGATACTTTTAATACCCTATTAATATCCCCTTTGTTATGTCCAGTCATCCACTTGTAAACCTCTATCATGTCACCCCTAACTCTTCGCCTTTCCAGTGAATGCAACTTAAGCTTTGTTAATCTTTCTTCATATGAAAGATTTCTAATTTGGGGAATTAACTTAGTCATCCTACGCTGGACACGTTCAAGTGAATTTATATCCATTCTATAATATGGCGACCAAAACTGAACTGCATAATCTAAATGGGGCCTAACTAGAGCAAGATATAGCTTGAGAACCACACCAGGTGTCTTGTTACTAACGCTGCGATTAATAAATCCCAGTGTCCTATTTGCCTTATTACGAACATTTATGCATTGATCCTTTTGTTTTAAATTCTTACTAATCATAACTCCCAGATCCCTTTCGCAATTCGACTTCGCAATCTCAACACCATCTAGCTCGTATCTTGTAACTTTATCATCATTACCTAACCTCAGAACTTTACATTTATCAGCATTAAACTGCATCTGCCAATCCTTCGACCATTTCAAAACCCTATCTAGATCAACTTGAAGTGATAGTGAGTCCTCCTCCGAATTAATTTCCTTACGATTTTCGTATCATCGGCAAATTTGCAAATGTTGCTACTCAAACCTGAATCTAAATCATTTATATATATTATAAACAACAGAGGTCCCAAGACAAAGCCCTGAGGCACTCCACTTACAACATTTTCCCACTCTGACTTGACTCCATTTATACTAACTCTCTGTTTCCTTTGGTATAGCCATGCCCTAATCCAGCTTAATATAGCACCCCCAATACCATGAGACTCTATCTTTTTAATCAGTCTTTCATGTGGCACTGTATCAAAAGCTTTGCTAAAGTCAAGGTACACAACATCGCAATCCTTACCACTATCAACTGCCTCAACTATACTAGAATAAAAAGATAACAAATTTGTTAAACATGAACGGCCATTTATAAAACCATGTTGTGACTCAATTATTAATTTATGTTTTTCAAGATAAAGACGAATTTTATTTGCTATTATTGATTCGAGTAACTTTCCCACAATAGACGTTAGGCTAATTGGTCGATAGTTAGACGCAAGTGATCTATCTCCTTTCTTAAAAACTGATATCACATTAGCAACTTTCCAAAACTCTGACACTCTGCCTGACTCTATTGATTTATTAAATATGGTTGACAGTGGGTCACAAAGCTCCTCTTTGCATTCTTTAAGCACCCTGGCAAACACTTCATCCGGCTCTGGGGATTTGTTTGGTTTGAGTTTTACTATTTGTTTAAGAACATCCTCCCTTAACATTACCAACAACCAACTGCTGTAAGCAAGACTATAATAAATAAATATAACAAAACACTAAAGTCTTAGCGTCTTGTTACCCAAAGTCGTATACATAAACATACATTACGCTGAGTCACGGACCCACACATTGTTATTCATACCTGCCACTCTGTATGTTATTAGTATACAGGGTGTGGCTACAGGGTACAGAATACAGGGTGTGGCTACAGGGGACAACATACAGGGTGTGGCTACAGGGTACAGAATACAGGGTGTGGCTACAGGGGACAACATACAGGGTACAGCATACAGGGTGTGACTATAGGGTACAGCATACAGGGTGTGGCTACACGGTGCGTAATACAAGGTGTGACTACAGGGTACAGCATACAGGGTGTGGCTACAGGGTACAGCATACAGGGTGTGGCTACAGGGTACAGCATACAGGGTGTGACTATAGGGTACAGCATACAGGGTGTGGCTACAGGGTACAGCATACAGGGTGTGGCTACAGGGTACAGCATACAGCGTGTGGCTACAGGGTACAGCATACAGCGTGTGGCTACAGGGTACAGCATACAGCGTGTGGCTACAGGGTACAGCATACAGGGTGTGGCTACAGGGTACAGCATACAGGGTGTGGCTACAGGGTACAGCATACAGGGTGTGGCTACAGGGTACAGCATACAGGGTGTGACTATAGGGTACAGCATACAGGGTACAGCATACAGGGTGTGGCTACAGGGTACAGCATACAGGGTGTGGCTACAGGGTACAGCGTTCAGGGTGTGGCTACAGGGTGCAGCATACAGGGTGTGGCTACAGCATACAGCGTGTGGCTACAGGGTACAGCATACAGGGTGCAACTACTGGGTACAGCATACAGGGTGTGGCTACAGGGTACAGCATACAGGGTGTGGCTACAGGGTACAGCATACAGGGTGTGGCTACAGGGTACAGCATACAGGGTGTGGCTACAGGGTACAGCATACAGGGTGTGGCTACAGGGTACAGCATACAGGGTGTGACTACAGGGTACAGCATACAGGGTGTGGCTACAGGGTACAGCATACAGGGTGTGACTATAGGGTACAGCATACAGGGTGTGGCTACAGGGTACAGCATACAGGGTGTGGCTACAGGGTACAGCATACAGGGTGTGGCTACAGGGTACAGCATACAGGGTGTGACTACAGGGTGTGGCTACAGGGTACAGCATACAGGGTGTGACTATAGGGTACAGCATACAGGGTGTGGCTACAGGGTACAGCATACAGGGTGTGACTACAGGGTACAGCATACAGGGTGTGGCTACAGGGTACAGCATACAGGGTGTGGCTACAGGGTACAGCGTTCAGGGTGTGGCTACAGGGTGCAGCATACAGGGTGTGGCTACAGGGTGCAGCATACAGGGTGTGGCTACAGGGTGCAGCATACAGGGTGTGGCTACAGGGTACAGCATACAGGGTGTGACTACAGGGTACAGCATACAGGGTGTGGCTACAGGGTACAGCATACAGGGTGTGACTACAGGGTACAGCATACAGGGTGTGGCTACAGGGTACAGCATACAGGGTGTGACTACAGCATACAGGGTGTGGCTACAGGGAACAGCATACAGGGTGTGGCTACAGGGAACAGCATACAGGGTGTGGCTACAGGGAACAGCATGCAGGGTGTGGCTACAGCATACAGGGTGTGGCTACAGGGTACAGCATACAGGGTGTGACTACAGCATACAGGGTGTGGCTACAGGGTACAGCATACAGGGTGTGACTACAGCATACAGGGTGTGGCTACAGGGTACAGCATACAGGGTGTGGCTACAGGGTACAGCATACAGGGTGTGACTACAGGGTACAGCATACAGGGTGTGGCTACAGGGTACAGCATACAGGGTGTGACTACAGCATACAGGGTGTGGCTACAACATACCGGGTGAACACACTGGGTGTAGCGTCAGCACAAGCGGGCCACATAGGCAGCTACACCCTGGCCACACTATAACATGTTGCTACACCACATTAAACAACATGTGGGATATACTGTGGTGGGATTACAGGTTATTCATGCCCGTGCACCTCTTGGCTGGCTTAATCTTCATCAATGACTAAATGAGCATGGAGGGGTGAAGGGGGGGCATGGTGGAGAGGGGGGCGTGGAGGGAGGGGGCACGGTGGGGAGGGAGGAGGGGCGGGGAGGGAGAGTGGGAGGGACGGGGAGGGCGGGGAGAGAGGACTTACCCGTAGACAGAGTCGTCGTAGTAGAGGGAGATCCTGAGAGGCTGGTCCAGGCTGCGCTTCCTCACGTGGTGGACGTCCTCCAGGTGCACGCCCAGCGTCACCTGTGTGCACACACATGACTCTCATTACTTTATCATATACACGGAACACCTACACGTACATGACACACACGGAACACCTACACGTACATCACACACACGGAGCACCTACACGTACATGACACACACGGAACACCTACACGTACATCACACACACGGAGCACCTACACGTACATGACATACACGGACAAGCAGCAGCAGCTGTAGCGTATGGAAGCGGGGGGGAGGAGGGGGCGCCACGAGCCACCCACAGGGTCCTCGGCTCCCACGGTGCCAGGAGTCACCCACGGGGTCCCCGGCTCCCACGGTGCCAGGAGTCACCCACGGGGTCCCCGGCTCCCACCACCATGCACAAGGAGATCACATGATCACATTAACGTGACGTATCACTGAGAAAATCAGTAGGAGCCATGAGGAGGGTTCGAACCTTTACACTGGGTACTCCAAAACTTCCAAAAACCCTAGTGGATAGCAATATCCACTGAGCTGGATATTTGCTATCCACCGAGTTGTTTGGAAGTTTGCCGTAGCAAAGCACGTCGTACATATTATAATAATATATGCAGTGAGGAAATTCGCCCAAAGAATGTGTTATATTTACCATATTTTTCTGGGTTTGAAACTTTTGTGAAGGCCTTGAAACGTTTTGATATACATGTATTGTTTAATTACAAAAATTCTGTTGGTAAACTAATAGTTAGAAACAGCCCTCGTAGTGATAATTGTGTCATTTATAAAACACCTTGTAAAGACTGTAATAAGTTCTACGTTGGGCAAACATCTAACGATTTAAAATGTAGAATTTCGCAACATAAATACTCTGTAAGACACGGCCAATTATCTAATGCTTTGTTCATTTGTCAGAAAATTCTTACCAAATTGATTAGGAAATGGCTTCTTCAATAACGAATGGTAAAATTACTTTCAATAGGAACATAATTAAATCTGTTTTAATACAGATTACAAAATCATGTAATTTGAACAACAGCAGTGGTTTGTATAATTTAGATCCATTTTTGATTGTTCAGTTAAAGGGAGATTTGAGTAGGATCATTGATACACATTTGTCTCACTAATACCGTGTTAATATCCACTATCTTATTCTATTATTATTATTATATATGTATCGGCCTACTGACCCATATTATGCAGCTCCTAATGTATATCCACACAATACCATTCATATATTTGTCAGTGTACCTCACTTCACTTCACCTCTCTCTCTCTCTCCTGCCTATATGTGTTCAAATCTATGAGCTTGTAAATCCATCCTTCTGAAGATGTATTACTAAATATGAAAGTACTTTAGGAAATTCATGTTTCAATTCTTCCTTCGTGGTCTGACACTGTCACATTTTTCATCACGTGTTAACTTTCGTGATTTACACACACACATATAAGACAGTGTCAGACCACGGAGAATTGAAACAGGAATTTCCTAAGTACTTTCGTATTTAATAATACATCTTCAGAAGGATGAAGATGTGTGTGTGTGTGTGTGTGTGTATTATATATATATAATGAAGTACCTAGCAGCCAAAACGTCGTACTTGGCCTACTATGCAAGGCCCGATTTGCCTAATAAGCCAAGTTTTCCTGAATTTATATAATTTTCTAATTTTTTTCTTATGAAATAATAAGTCTGTCCATTTCATTATGTATAAGTTAATTTGTTTAAATTTGAGTTTAAACTAACGTAGATATATGACCAAACCTAACCAACCCTAACCTAACCTATCCAACCCTAACCTAACCTAACCAACCCTAACCTAACCTAACCAACCCTAACCTAACCTAACCTATAAAGATAGATTAGGTTAGGTTAGGTAGGGTTGGTTAGGCTCGGTCATATATCTACGTTAATTTTAACTCCAATAAAAAAAATTGACCTCATACATAATGAAATGGGTAGCTTTATCATTTCATAAGGAAAAAATTAGAGAAAATATATTAATTCAGGAAAACTTGGCTTATTAGGCAAATCGAGCCTTGCATAGTAGGCTGAGAAGTGCGTTCTGGCTACTAGGTACGACATATATATATATATATATATATATATATATATATATATATATATATATATATATATATATATATATATATATATATATATATAAAGGAGTAGTTAGACTAGACTTGCATCAGTGGCTATGGACGGGGGGTCCAGGCCATTGGCTAGGTATTATGCGTTCAGTTCACTCACGAAACGATGGTCTAATTAATCATCTAGTCTAATGATGTTTATTAGTCAACAAAGAGTAGTGTTTGAAAACATCAAGACATGGGTTAACATTTAAGGGTAAGGCAGGTTACAGGGAGTTTATGAGGTTGTATTTAGTTTTTCTTTTAAACTGGTTGAGAGAGGTACAGATCTTGACACGATTGGGAAGGTCATTCCACATTCTCGTTACCTTGTATTGTAGAGCATTTCTAGTTTGTTGAGGCGCACTCTTGGAATATCAAATAGGTATTTTTTTCTGGTGTGATGCTCATGGGTTCTGTTATAATCTTTTAGAAAGTGTTGAAGGTCATGATTGGCATTATAGTTCAGAGTTTTAAATATACACAGTATACTTGAGAGGATGTGCAGTGACTTAATATCTAACATAAACAAAGATATAAGTAAGGTTACCGAGTGCTGTCTGGGGCCAGAGTTAGAGATTGTTCTAATAGCAGCGTTGTGTTGAGTAATTAGAGGACGTAGATGGTTTTAGGTAGTAGAGCCCCAAGCACTGTTAATGGGGGTGATGCCGGCCACGTCTGTTTGGATCTTTAGCATGTCACTCTTTCCTAAGGCGTGTCCGTCTATGGGGGCGGTGCTAACTTTATAGTGTTTGTTGTGTCAAGGTGATGGCGGGGTGTGGTGCCGCGCTGCCCTCAGCTCGGGGTGTGGCACAGGAGATGGAGTCAGACTGTGAGCAGTAATGGTGTGGAGGGAAGTGGCGTGCATGACGTGCGGAGTGGAGGCCAGTGATGTAGTGCCACCACCACTTCACATTCCTCCCACTTACAGCACACAAGAGTAATTAAGAGGAGATAACACCACGGGGACGAGAGACAGAAAACGGAGGATGGAGGAGGATAGACTAGTCTGGAGTTACTCGGGTGGCATCACCGCGTCATGGCTTGGGCCTGGACACAGCTCACTGCTGCTAGTACACTAGCAGTGACGGACACACCAACATTAACGTGGATGTGTCCGTCTGTATGGTCTATGTATATGTTCTGCTTGTGTCTAGACCAACTAATTATTACTACTACTACCGGGAGGGTCCCGGTAGTACAGTCGGGCACGTTCTCGACGCACACTCGAGAATTCCGGGTTCGAATCCCGCCCTGGTGGGACAGAAATGGTTGGGCACATTTCCTTTCACCTAATGGTCTGTTCACCTAGCAGTAAGTTGGTACTCAGGAGTTAGTCAGCTTGTTGCGGGGTTGCATCCTAGACGGGGTCAGTAATATGGCCTTGGGGGGGGGGGGAGTCCTCGATAAAAGCCTAACGTGTATGAATACACTCTGGTGAAGTATGGATCTCAGAGTACCATGTTTTCAGATGTGACAGGAAACACCGGCTACAGGGTGGGGTCAGCCTCTAATGTAGACACACTCATCTGTACTGAGCTGCTAAACACCACTAACAATATGGTGGAAGTGCTGATAATCAAAATAGAGATCTTAAATGTAGTTATTGTCCTTGTATATAAGTCACCGGAGGCAAATCACCAGCAGTTTCAAGACCAACTGATGAAAACAGAACACAGCTTGGAAAACCTCACAAATCCAGCCCCGGACACCATCCTGCTTGGGGACTTTAACCTACGGCAATGGAATGCACCTGGCTAATACAGGTATATCAGAAAGAATACCAGGAAGTAGCCTAAATGAACAGGCACATGCAAATGACCTGCTACAGATGTGCGACTGGTTTGCCTTAAACCAGCAAATAGTAGAACCAACCAGAAAAAAAGGTCAACGGAAAGATTGATGATATTCTGGAGAGATACAAGAATTCTGCACCAAGATTGTAACCTTCTGTTAAATTGTCTGAATGTCTATTTCAAACTGTCTATATACCAAGTCATATAAGTATTTGTGTGTACGTCTCGTAACATACTACATGTGTAAAGGAAAAAATTGTATGTTTATCACTCAGAATGTTCGGTAATATGTTTATTGTTTGTGATGCGTCTATATATGTATGAACACGTTGTACTGATCTGGGTGAGAATAGCTTGAGCTACCTCATCCCTTTGTGTGTGTTTTACCTCAAACTTATTTCAATTTCATTTTCAAAACCAGAAAAGAGAACACGTTGGACCTCATTTTCACTAATAATGATGAATTGATCAGGAACATAATGATTACAAATACCTGTTACTCAGATCACAACTTAATTGAAGTTATAACAACCATGGGGAGTAGACCTTCACAACCAGTCCCCAGCCCCAGTGGAGGAGAATTCAGCAAATAGAACTTCAATTATAAACAGATAAACTGGGAGCAAATAAACCAGGATTTCACAGAAATAAACTGGGAAGAACAGCTAGAAAATGCGAACCTGAACCAGTGCCTGGAAAAAATAAGCTCAGTAGCACTAGAAATATGTTCAAACCGCATACCCCTAAGAAAAAAGAGGAAGAGATGCAGATTGGAACGGGAACGTCGTTCCCTATATAGGCGAAGAAAACGAATCGCGGAACAACTTGAGAGTCGCACCCTATCTCAAGAACGGCGAAGAAGGTTAGGTAGAGAAATAGAAACAATTGAACTCAAGCTACAAGAATCATACAAAACCCAGGAAAGACAGAAAAAGGTCATCAGTGAAAGAAATTCGAAATATTTTTTCCCGTATGCAAAATCAAGATCAAAAACCACATCTAGTATCGGGCCCCTGCGAAAGGGAGATGGAACTTTCACTGATGACAACAAAGAAATGAGCGAGTTACTGAGGACGCAGTACGACTCTGTTTTCAGCGAGCCATTAAACGCACTAAAGATTGATA